TTAATACGAAAATCCAATAGACTTGGATGGACAGAAGAACACACACAGTGTATCAAAAAATTAAAAGAAGAATGTGCTAAGTTACCAAAACTTAGACTACCAGAAGATAATGACAATTTGGTATTACAAACAGACGCATCTGATTATCATTGGAGAGTATTATTGCAAACCGATTTAAATGAAATTTGAGGTACACAAGTGGTACTTTCAATGATGCAGAAACAAGATATTCAACGAATGAAAAGGAATTATTGGCTATTGTTAAAGGAATTAGAAAGTTTTCTACTTTCCTTTTACCAAAGCAATTTGTTATTAAAACTGATAACACGCAGGTGTCAGGATTAATATTTAACAAGCTTCCTTCTGAACCACAATACAGAAGATTGCATCGATGGCAAATGTTATTATCCTTTTATTCATTTACAATATAATATATTAAAGGAAGTGACAATTTTCTTGCATATTTCATCTCCAGAAATGTCCAATATGGACAATCGAACAAAAATTCTGGTAAACAGAATATATGAAAAAATGGAAACTGTGAACGAGTCCATAGATAATAAAAGCAAAGGCTATTCAAAATCAGAGATGAACTGTCAAAGTTGTCTGAACAAGCTCGGATTTTACAATCTGAAATAAATCAGCTCAGCATGATACAAGCTGAAAACATGAGAGAATTTTTACTCTTATGTGAACATTTGGATACATATCCAAAACAGAATTCAATTCTAAAGGGGAATGTTAATCCCAACAAAGTGGCAGGAGATGTCCCACTAGCACCTAGTGCCCAAAACATCTCAAAGGTAAGCACGGATATGCCTAATCCTAAATCGAAAGATGAAGGAAAAAGCCGAGCAATAATTGATGCCGTTATTTCAAAAGAAGAAACAGGCACATCCTCAGCAAAAGCTGAAAAAATTATCTCTGGGAAACCAGAAAGCAGTACTAACAAGGTTCCATCTGGAGCAAAAGTTTTTTCTTCTTTTCAGGTTGGCAAACAGCACCATAAAGAGGAAGAGTATCTTGCATTTACAAGATACATCTACAACCTCCCTGAGGAAAGCGGAGAAACATTTGGTGTTCTAGGAACGACAAGTTTGTTTCCGAGAATATCAATATTTCCAAACGGATCACCGGACTTTACAGTTCAACTATTTGAATTTGGACATTTAGATCGAGTATATGCAAAACAAGATCTAAAAGAAATATCTCAATTACCAATAAAACTGTTCAATTCAGTTAAAAACTATGCCCAAGAAGATGGCGTTTATTGCAGATTTTACAGCATTTCTATGGAATGCAAGGATTTGCAAGCTTATTATCCCACACTCAACTACATATCAGTAGAAAAAATAAAAGATTTCAATGTCAAAGCCACATGTGTAGACAAGAAACTTCCACATCTCAACAAGAAGTAGATTCAAACTAGACGAGCTTTAGGAATAAAAACATTATATTTTATTCTTAAACGATTTTATAATGAAGACTGCAGAGTCTTAGATCAAGACCAATATTGGGTTTTAATAACCAAAGGAAAATCCAAATCAAAGGAATTAAAAGATGGAATTCTTGACATAGAGTTTCACAGATTAGGAGCAACGGAAGAAACATGGAAGCTAGCATGTAAAATGTTAGATCATAATCATCCAGGGGCAGAATAATGTAATTGTCAAATGAAAGACAAAACAGGAGACGTAAGCACTTACGTCATGAAGATATCAACAAAGAAAATAATATTTTCTTTTCTTCAAAGTCAAAAGGAGAGGTCACATCTTGTCGGCCATCAACAAAAGAAGACAGACAAGTCATCCTCATCTTATCAAAAAAGAATCTTCAATCAGTGAAGAATGAAAGAAAAAATATGTAAAAGTTTAGGAAAGTCCCTAAAAAGTTATATTTTGTAATAAGTCCCTCCTTCCATCTATAAAATGAGAGGAACTTCATACTTGAAAGGCAGATTACATTTTCTAAGAAAACACCCTTCGAAGAAAAATGTTAGGTACCTTAATGAATAGTGAGTAATAACTTCTCCCGTCAGGGAAATGTATTTTTTTATGTCGTGAGTATGTGTAAGATATAGTATGATTTGTTGTAAAAATAATTATATGAAATAAAGTTTGGTTTCTATATCTCTCTTCTTGAAACTCCATAAATAGTCTTAAACGAAGGTTGTGATCTTCTGCCTTAAGGAAGAACAGTAAGGAAGTAAGCCGCCGAACTGAGGTCAATTAGGCGGAAATACCGTTCATTGCCTAGAGGAGAACTACTGAGGTAGTGATAAGGACTATTCATCGATCAGAAAGAAGGAAGGTATACACGCTCAACTTCTCATTTCATATCATTATCTTTTAAAAACAAACTATATTATACTTAGTCATATACTTAGACATATAAGAATTACTTAGTACCTATAGGGAATAAAAAATTATAAGAATTTTCAACTTAAATATGTGTTATACTATTTCATGTTTATATCCATGCTATTAGCATAAATAAAAATGAAAAATATTCAACAGCATGTGCATAGAATAAGAAAAAGAGCCTGGAGGCATAAAAAAGTTTTGCATCATTTTGATAAAGCAATACCAAAAATGGAATATAAAATTAAATATATATATTTATTTTCTTTTTTATTTTTTGTGTAATATTTGAAATGAAAAATCAAAGGGAAACACAGTTAAAGAAATATTGATTCAAATATGCTCTCAACAAGGAGGTGAGCAATAAAGAACAAACCTGAGCCATGGTAAATTGGAAGATTTCTTCTTCCTCAGGTCGAGTGCCACGGACCCAGACACGCTGCTTATACAGAGTCTACACAAGCATAGTGGAAGTTTGACAATTCTTAAGCTTATCCTTGCATTTCCTTAACATTTGTTAGCACTTAAGCAACATGTAAAACCTGACAAACCTCATTTACGTGCAAACTGCTCAAAATCTCCCTCTCCTGATGGCCAAGTAATACTCTATAAGTTGAATGATGAAATATTCGCCTGAATCGTTCAAACTGCACAATGGACAGTAGACAAACCAAGTAAAGATAGGTAATAGTGAATATTGCCTTTTCTTTAATTAATAGAATAACTACAAGCTTCTTTTAGTTGCTGCCTCTGGTGCAGGAATTATTTTCAAATGCCTTGACCTAAAGAGCATAGATTTGACAGGCAGCTTACTCTTTGAGTACTCATGGCGATTGAGCCAATATACAGCAATAATTAACGATTAAGGAGAAAATAAAAACAAAAAAGGCCAAAAAATAAAACAACCAAATTAATATTTTGGTAGTGATTACTAACCTGACCCAAGTCAAAAAAGCGTCCAAAGTAGGTAGACCTTTGAAAAGGATCAAATCCAGCAAACTATCACGAGAGATTAAAGATAACCAAACAGCCAGCTTCAGCTTGTTATAAACCATCATACTCAAAGAGAAAAAGAGTTTCCGAAATTACTCTGTACATGACTTCAACTCCATAATCGTGATGAGGTTGGTCATTGTACTTCAATGCATCAAGCTGGTTTCGAACTGCTTCTTCTGCACTAAACTATTGCAAAACCATAAAGTAAATTGATACATAAGCAAGTGCAGAAACCTCCAAGAATCCACGTTCAAGTGTTGGAAACTTACACATAATCTTGGACCGAATGGCTTTTTCCTACGAGATTCAAGCCTGCAGCAGATAATGCATAGTTGCAAATAGTTTTTAATAGAATTTCCCAATAACGGATTATTAAAGACATAAGTAATTAAAAGTGAAATCTCGCCAATTATTTAAACTTTTAGATGAGGTGGTCATATAATTCAACATGGTATGAGAGCATGCAAAGATCTTGACCTCAAGTTTCACGGTTTATCACAAATAATTTTCATACGCCAATCTCTGGGAGTATACGTGAACTTACTTAGCTAAACAAAGCATGATAGAAGCAAAGGATACATATAGGCGATATCAACTTTGGAATTAAGGCTTAGCTATTGTAGGTACACTTATATAAGATACAGTGTCCACCAGGAGTCTTTTCAGCCAGAGATCTGTATATCAGTACAGAAATGTAAGAGTTAAAGAGCCTCTAATTCTATAAAACTCCTGGTTTATTTCAAAAGATAAATTATTGGGGATTGGAGTTAAATTGTCCCAAACAGAGCAGACTGGACATAATGTATTCAGAAAACCAACCCAACTAGTTTGAGATTGAGATTGAGACTTTGCTCTTGTTGCATCAGTAAGCCTGACGGTGCAAGAATTGTGCTTAAACTTAACTGTTTAACGAATTTAAGTTTTTGAAAGCAGCAGAAAACATCATTATTTCATTTAAAGTGGTGGTGGCTGACCTCAACTAGTGGCAACTCAACACTACCCAAGATCAACCAAGGAAACTGGCAACTTCAGTTCACACAATGCAATTTCTTGCGAAAGTCGTATTAACCAAAATTACAGAAAATCAAACAAATTGCAAAAGTATCAGCTCAATAAGTCAAAAACCCCGAGTTCAATCCCTGGGAAGAACCAAAATACTGAATAAATTCGTGATTTCCACTAACCCAATAGCAAAATAAATAACTTTACATCATTTTCACATAAGTAAGAACCCAAAAAACAACATCTCTACCTTCACACAATAGGGTAAGATTACGTATACACAGCCCACCTAATACTAAGGAAGAACTAGTTAATACAAAATATTCACGAGGAAACAAGAGAGGGAGTTAGGATGGGTACCAATTAGCGGAGAGAAAGTCAGGTACATCGGCAGAAGCAGAGATACGAGGGCTGTAAGGCTTAGAAGATCGGAAAGGTTTGGGGAAAATAGACTGAGACTGTGGAGATGATGACACAGAGGAGCAAAACGACATCGTATGTATGCTTCTCCACACAAAGCTCCGTCGATGATCGATTGAAGAAAAAGCTCTGAATTGCAGCTAATACAACAAGACTTTTAATTTCGAACCGTTGGATTGATATTGTAAGGAAATCGTACGATCGTGATCTCATCACCAGTTACCCAGGGGAGGCAAACGGCGACGTTTTAAGGGAGGCAGTTGCCCAAAATTGCAATTTACAGTTTTCACTAGTGTAACACAATTGAAATGTTGGTCATATATTCATGAAGCACTCTGCTCCTTCCCGCCACCTCATTGCCGCCGCTGCTTTCACCGATACTGCGTCTGCCGCCGCCAGCGCCACCATGTCATCTGCTCAATCAGTAAGAATACTTTCCTGAAATACGAAATTCACATTAACTTCCATTTCTAAACTGTTAACGTAACTCTCCTTTACAGTTCCGAGGAGGCAGGGGACGCGGCAGGAGAAACTTTTCGCACCGTCCTTCCGGAGAGCGAAGTGAAGAGGACATTGTAACTGGAGACTCTCACTTCAATTCTGTTCGTGAAACCAATCGAAATCTCCGTCCGTCTCCTATTTTTCGACCTTTCCGGCCTAGGGCACCATCTCCAAATATCCATCCTACTCATCATAATTATGGACAATTGCCGTCTCCTCAACCACGTCAGCCATTTCATTACAATCAGCAATCCTATAGAGCAATGCCACCACCAGCAGGGTTTTATCAGAATCAACAGTTCAATAGAGCAATGCCACAGCCTCCACTAAGACCACAGTATTATCAGAATCAGCAGCTCAATAGACCAAATTTTTATGAGAATCAGCAGTTTAATGGACCAAATTTTTATGAGAAAAGGCAGTTTAATAGACCAATTTTTTATGAGAATCAGCAGTTCAGGCCACGGCCATTGCCTCCCAAGGCTTTGAACTTTCGGAATTGGGAGTATGCTAGACCTGGACCTCCACCTCATTGCGGTAAATTTGCATCTCTTTTCAATGTCGCATTTACTCAATTTGGGTACATTCAACTGTTGGTACAATTCCAATAAGCCAGGATAAAAGAAGGGTGTATGTGATAGGTTGACAACCAACTTAAAGCTAGTCAATTGATGATGAATCTTCATGCTTGAGATTGAGACATTGTTGTGGTTGTGTTTTCTTTTTGTTGCTTAGAGGGGAGGATATACATAAAGTTAAGAATCCATGTATCCAAATCGTTATATGGATAGTGTATTATGTTTGTGATATGAGTTTGTAGTTATAAAATATGGTCAATTTAGAAATGTTCCTTTGGCGTATTGGACAACAGGATGTGGTGAGAAAAGCGAAGTACAATATGAGAGGATATATATAGGTATTCTTGGTTGATTATTCTTTATAATCAAACAAAGTAGGACCTACTTGTTTCATATGAAGTGTTCATATGCAAATGGCGCGGAGAAGAGTTGCAGTGCCAGTGATTCTAACTGATATGAAACTTCCATTTTGACAAAGGCAAATTGCGACAAACAGTATAATGTTGCTCTAAAGTCTAATCTAAATGTGATCATGTCAAATGGTCTAACATAGGTATAAAGATTTAGTTTGGATACTCTAAAACACATTAAATACTTACTAAACTTGAAGATACTCTTGTAGGAGAGAATGGAAAGAAGGGAGGTAAACAAAAGAAAGAGAGGAAGCGGAAACAACATTCCCAGTTGGCTCCACCCAAAAAAAGCAGTGCATTTTTTTGAATTACCCAAATCTGATATACTGTCCTGTCCTAGATTTGGAATCCAAACTACATGGTTTATGGTAGCTCATTTGATAATGGAATTTAATTATCTGATTAATAAGGAGAAAACTAAATGCTGCCTTTGATAGGGATAATAAAGGAGGTCTAACTTTGCAATAACCACCTTAGTTGAAGGAGGGTAAGACTACTGTGTTGTGAGTCAGGTAGGATAATGGTAATAGTAAAACTTTCAGTTTAGGTAATGATTTTGGAAGCTGAACGAAATCCGGAAGACTGGCTCAGGGGAAGAGGATTTTATTTTATGATCGAGAAATCTATTAGGATCAACTGGAGCCTTTGGAACTCGGTGATAATGTGTCTTGCCCCTTTACCCTTCTCGACTTAAATACAAGGCTTAGTTCGTATGGTGTAGGGCTCGAACTTGTGACCTCAGTCACAAGTCCCTCAATCTTTTTCCGCTTGAAATCCCTAGGGGCATCGAGTTCGCAAATGGAGAGGATAAAATCTTATTAGAATAGATGAGAATGTCACATTAGTTGTTTTAGCCTTTCAAGACAGAAAATTTTCACGACGTAGTTTTTTTTTTGTAAATATACTGTGTTAACTACTGTAATCTAATAAAAGAAGTTGTTGTTCTATTCATGAATATACAAGGTATTTATACAATTACAGGAATCCTATAAAAGGAAATCAATCAAAAGAAATAAAAGAAAATATTCTACAATCACTCTTATTATTCTGTAATATTCTACAATCACTCTGTGATTTGTTACCATATTCTGTAACACTCCCCTCAAGCTGGAGCATAGATATTGATCATGCCCAGCTTGTCACAAAGATAACTAACTCGAGTTCCATTCAATGCCTTGGTGAACAAATCAGCTAATCGCTCTCCCGTTTTCACGTAGCCTGTGGAAATAAAATTTTCCTGAATCTTCTCACGAATAAAATGACAGTCAACCTCAATGTGTTTTGTCCTTTCATGATACACCAGATTTGAGGCTATATGAAGAGCAACCTGATTGTCACACCAGAGTTTTGCTGGTGTATAATGCTTCACTCCCACATAATCTCACACGTAGACTGTGACATAGCTCTATATTTGGATTCATCACTGGATCGAGATACAACACTTTGTTTCTTACTCCTCCACGATACTAGGTTCCCTCCAACAAAAAACAATAACTTGTTGTGGATCTTTTATTAATTTTGGATCCCGCCCAATCAGCATCAGCAAAACACTCTACACGAGTATTACCATGATTGCCATACAATATGCCACGTCTAGGAGCTCCTTTCAAGTAACAAAGAATTTGTTCTAAAGCTTCCCAATGTTTGACGGTAGGCATTGACATAAATTGGCTAACAATACTTACTGCAAAGGCAATATCCGAACGAGTCACAGTGAGGTAGTTTAACTTCCCAACTAACCTCCTGTATCTCTCAGGATCATCAAAAGAATCTTCATCATCTATCATAAGATGCACATTGGGGACCATTGGAGTACTGCAAGGTTTGGCAGCCAACTTTCCAGTGTTTGCAAGCAGGTCAAGAATACACTTTCTCTGAGATAGGAAAATTCCCTTCTTGATTCTATTTACTTCTACTCCTAAGAAGTACTTCAACTGACCCAAGTCCTTTGTATGAAATCTAGTATGCAGGAAAGACTTGAGAGAAGAGATCCCCGCATAATCACTTCTTGTGATGACAATGTCATCAACATATACAACAAGTAGGATAGTGCCAGCTACGGAGTGTTGGTGGAATACAAAATGATCACATTTGCTCATTTTTAGTCCAAACTCCTGAAATACCTCACTGAACTTGCCAAACCAAGCTCGGGGACTCTACTTCAAGCCATACAAGGACTTCTTCAAGTGACAAACTTTTCTATACTCCCCCTGAGCAACAAAATCGGGTGGTTGCTCCATATACACTTCCTCTTGAAGATCACCATAAAGAAATGCATTCTTGATATCCAACTGATGTAAAGGCTAATTCTCAGAAGCAGCTAGGGAAATGAATAGCCAGACAAAAGTGAGTTTGGCCACCGGAGAGAAGGTGTCTAAATAATCCACCCCATAAGTCTGAGCATAGCATTTAGCCACAAGTCTGGCCTTAAGTCTGGCCACATAACCATCTGGATTGACTTTAACTGTGGAGATCCACTTACATCCCACTGAATTCTTTCCCTTCGGTAAATCCACCAAATCCCACGTGTGATTTTCCTTTTAGGCACGTATTTCCTCGAGCATTGCCTCAGACCATCCAGGATGATGCAAAGCCTCCTTGACTGGTTTGGGTACAAAGATAGAGTCTAGAGAGACTATCAAAGATCTAGACGCAGAGGATAAGTGGTCATAGGAAACAATATTAGCAATGGGATATGTGGATTTGCAGGTACGTGTACCTTTGCAAAGAGCAATAGGGAGGTCAAGGTTTTTTGAAGGATCAGATGGCGGAAGATATGATGATGAAGGAACTGGCACAGGACATGTTTCATTGGTCTCTCTCCTCCTCAATTGAAGTTGAACAATTGGAGGTTTTGCTAGCACAGACGGAGCAGGTTCTGAAGGCACAATAGTCGATTGGTGCTCAATAGAAGAACTGGGAGATTGAGGAGCGACATTTAATTGTTCTTTCAAAGCGTGGGTAACTTGATAAACTAACCACTCATCTTCCTCTTCCTGGCTAGTAGAAATGGGAGGTGCATAGAAAAATGGGGTACTCTCTGAAAATACCACATCGGTTGGCACTAAATATTTTTCAAGTTCAGTAGAATAAGTAGAATAACACTGATATCCCTTCTGAAGTCGAGAATAGCCAAGGAAAACACATTTCAATGCTTTGGGATCCAACTTGGTAACAGATGGTCGAACATCTCGAACATAGCATGTACTTCCAAAAACCTTAAGTTCCACCGGAAAGAGAGACTTGTTTAGGAAAAGAACAATATAAGGCATGTTACCAACAAGCACACTAGATGGCATCCGGTTAATAAAAAAACAAGTTGTAGAGACTGCATCTGCCCAGAATTGTTTAGGAACCTTCATTTGGAACAAAAGTGCTCGAGCTGTCTCAAGTAAATGCCTATTCTTCCTCTCATCAACTCCATTTTGAGAGGGTGTATCAATACATGAAGACTAATGGAGAATACTGTGTTGTCTCATGAACGACTGAAACAATTCTGACATGTATTCTTTGGCATTATCACTCCTTAGCATACATACCGAAGCACTGAATTGAGTTTTGACTTCAGCGTGGAAGGCACAAAAGTGAGTAAACACTTTAGAACGACTCTTCATAAAATAAATCCAAGTCATTCGAGAGAAATCATCCACAAAAGTAACAAAATACTTATGCCCAGTTTTGGAAGCAACAGGACATGGTCCCCAAACATCAGAATGAACTAATTCAAAAGTTGATCCAACCCGCTTATTAACCCTTGGACCTACCGAGATGCGGTGATGTTTTGCAAATTGGCATGACTCACAGTCTAAGGAAGAAACATTTTGAAATTGGGGACAAAGCTTCTTTAACATAGGTAATGAAGGATGTCCCAACCGACAATGTGCTTTGAATGGAGACACAACACAGGAGTAGGCACCAAATTGAGGCTCCCATTCATCAAGAATATAGAGATCATCGGATATATGCCCCTTACCAATTACTTGATTTGTTGTAAATCACGAAACAGACAATGATCGGGAAAGAATGAGATATAACAATTAAGGTCTCTGGTAATTCTACTGACAAAGATCAAATTAAAGGCCGACTTTGGTAGACTTAATACAAATGACAAGGTGATAGTTGAGGTTGGTTTAACGGTCCCTGATCCCACAATGTTACAAGTTGAACCATCAGCTACCGTCACAGGAGAAAGTGCTTTATGTGATCGAAAGCTAGAAAACATATTAGAATTACCTGTCATGTGATTTGTGGCACCTGAATCAATCACCCATTTATTCGATGAGGAGAAAAGACATGTTTTCCTTGACTCCGGAAATGTAGTAATTGAAATGGGTTCCTTAAGTGATTTTTGAAAATGAGAGAATTTTGCATACTCATCAGCCGAAACAAGAATTGTCTTCTTAGTCATTTTCTGACAAATATATCTAGTGTAATTCTTGACAGAAAACAAAAGGAGTTCAACAAGTCTAACCCACCAGTTCCTCTCAAATAAGTGTACCAGACTGAAGAAACACACAATGTGTTGTAGAATCAGCAAACTAGAAGT